TAATTAAGTGAATTGATGTAGGAGGGCTCAGCCCACTGCGGGAAGCACCATACCCCAGGCAGGGGTTTCTGAGCTGTGGAAGAGAGGAGCAGTCAAGCGGGACACTAAGTACTCATGCATTCATCTCTCTGCACTTGACTGTGGATGTGATGTGACCAGCTAGTTCCTGCCAGGACCTCCTAACACCTGTAAACTGTGACCTGGAATTGAAGGCCAAATAAACCCTTTCTCCCCCCCCAAAAAAATATTTTATTTATTATTTTTATTTTATGTGTATAAGTGTATTGCCTGCATGTAGGTAAGTGCACCCATGTCGTGCAATGCGAGGACAGAGGAGGCTGTCAGATGCCCTGGAACTGGAGTTACAGATAGTTTTTAGCTGCCATGTGGGTACTGGGATTTGAACCAGGGTCTTCTGCAAGAACAGCCAGTGTTCTTAACCACTGAGCCATCTCTCCAGCCCCTCTTTTTAATTTCTTTGACCATTAGTGCACTAGGAATTAAACAAGAGTAATCACTGAAAACATCTGTCATATTGGCCCATTTAGAAAAAATGATTTAAAAGAATTCTGTTCTGGCTGGGTGTGGTGGCACACGCCTTTAATCCCAGCACTCCAGGGGATTTCTGTGAGTTCAAGGCCAGCCTGGCCTATATAGTGAGTTCCAGGCCAGCTGGGGCTACAGGGAGACCCTGGCTCAAAAAAAGACAAAAAAAAATTGTTGTTGTGGGAGAAGGGTTCTGTATGCTGAAATTTTTCCCTTCTTCAGTTTAAAATTATATCAAATCATTCTATTATAGTGTTATAGAATATGTAAATTGTATTTCCATCCATAAAGTATGGTTTGGGGACTTTAAAAATTATTTTTATTTTATGTATCTGAACATTTGCCTGCAAGTATGTATGTGTACCAGGTGCATGCCTAGTGCCCGTGGAGACCAGAAGAGGGCACTGAATTCTCTAGAACTGGAATTACAGATGGTTTTGAGCCATCTGTAATGTGGTGCTGGCAATCAAACCTGGATGCTCTGCAGGAGCCCTGAGTGCTCTAAACTACTGAACCACCTCTCCAGCCCTCATAAAGTATGATTTTAAGAGAAAAAATAAAATAAAGATTCCATGAGTTAAAAAAAAATCTTCAAGGTTAGAGTCAAGAAGATTGTAGCTGAGCTGGACACTGTGACCCATACTTGTAATCCCAGATCTCTGTGGCTGAAGCAGGAGGATTGTTAGAGTTTGAAACCCTTCTGACTACATAGTGAGTTCAAGTCTGGCCTAGGATACATAGCAGACCCCTATCTCAAAAACAAACAAACTAACTAACTAAACAATGTATGGTATCTGTGCCTTTAGAAGCAGCACTAGAAAGGCAAAGATAGGCAAATCTCTGTGAGTTCCAGGCTAGCCTGGTCTACAAAGTGAATTCCACTGCTACATAGTGAGACCTTGTTTCCCAAAACAAAAACAAACAAAAGAAAAATCTAAACATAGGACAATGTTTGCCAAACCTATGTTCTCCCACTTAATTTTATGCTTGTAACATGAAGTTAAAAGGACAAAGTCAGACCAGGTGTGGTGATGCATGCCTTTAGTCCCATAACTCAGGAGGCAGAGGCAGGAGGATCTCTGTGAGATTGACGTCAATCTGGTCTACATAGTGAGTTCCAGGATAGCCAGGGCTGCATAGTGAGACCCTGTCTCAAACAAACAAACAAGCAAACAAACAAACAGGAAAACAAAGAACAAAGTGAAAGTCTGCACATAACATGATCTCAGAGAAAGCATTTACATGGAAGAAAAGACTGGAAGAATACAACCTAAAATAGTAACAGTTTATGTCTAGATGGGCAACTTGTGGGTTAGCTTTTTTTGGTCTTTTTGAGATAGGATCTCCCTGTAGCCTCAGCTGGCCTGGAACATGCTATGTAGACCAGGCTGGCCTTGAACTCTCAGAGATCCTCCCGTCTCTGCTTCTTGAGTGCTGGGATTAAACATGTGCACTACCATGCCTGGCTATTTTGGGTTTTTTTTCTTTTTAATCATAGTTTGCAATGTTTCTCAAATGCTTTCATTAACATAATGTTATTTTTGAAAAAACTTTATTGAAATCTTTTTTTATATTTTATTTATTATTTTTATTTTATGTATATGAGTGTATTGCCTGCATGTAGGTAAGTACACCGGTGTCATGCAATGCCCGAGGAGGACATAAGAGGCTTGTCAGATCCCCTGGAACTGGAGTTATGGACAGTTGTTAGCTGCCATGTGGGTGCTGGGATTCAAACCCAGGTCTTCTGTAAGAACAGTCAGTATTCTTAACGGCTGGGCCATCTCTCCAGTCCCATTTATTAAAATCTTTTAAACAATGCATATTTTCTGACTTAACTGCTAGAGTTTTTCAACCTCAGTCTGGTTTTATTAACTCCAAGAAAAAGATGATGAATTGAGGCTTAGATTAGCTAGAATTTCCACAGGATGGAGAGGCAAGAAAAGAAGGAAAATATTTTGTTCCAGTATCTAATGGAGAAGTTCCCCAATCTGTAGAACTACATGGAAATTCCCACAATGTCATCACACACCTGTCAATAATACACCAGAAACTTACAGAGGGCACTGCAGGCAGGAAGGAGTTACAGAATCTCATAACCACTTGAGTCCCCATCTTCAGAGTCCCCAGAAGAGTCGAGTCAGGACCACCTTCAAATAGGAAAAGGAAGAAATGTCCAAGTACAGGGGAGAAAAGAAATTTCAAAAGCTAAACTAACCCTCCCCTTAACCTACCAGTTTAAGTCATCCAGAAGGTCGGACTAGGATTCTGAGTAGCCAGGGAACAAGCCGAGAAAATTGTGGTAACGATGATGTTGATGTTAGCAGCAGCCAACGTTCGGGTGCATTTTATGAAATACTGCAACTGCTGCAAATACGCATACCCACACTGCAAGGCTGATACAATTACCACCAACTTTTTTTGTGTGCTGCAATTCCATTTTCAGTACTCAAAGAATCACTCCTCTTAAGGAACCAACAGAGGTGTTTGGGGAGGTTGGTATAACGGGTTGAGAAAGGGAAGTGCGTTGTGTCTCATCTCCAGGCTCTGAAAGTCTGAAGCAGAAACTGTACACCAAGACTCCACAAGATTCACAGAGACCTCAGACCCTGAAACGTTTGCCTCCTGCTCACCCTACCATCGTCCCCTCTTCGTGTCCCTAGTTCCCATCTGGTGCTCAACCAGTGGTAATAGTATCTCCCAGTTAAACACCACCTTTCAGCACCTACCTCTTAAACGATCTGCTTGTCAGGTTCAGCATCTTTGTCCTGCGCTCAGCTGGACTGGCCTGCACTTGCTCAGGCTTAGCGGTGCGGCGTTCCTGCTGCCATGGTGACGCCCAGGCTTGCAGCTGCCAGGAGCACAGCCAGCGAATGCCAGCCTTGACCCCGCCTCCTGCCTGCCAGACCCCGCCTTCAGCCGGCCAAGACCTCGTCCCTACCGTTCTGGATCCGCCTTCTAACGTCCAGACCGCAACTCGGGCCAGTCTAGCCTCCCACCGCACCTTCATGTTCCCGCCCTTGCCCTATGAACACTTCCCCTTCTTGCCCACCTTCAGCCAATGGGAGCTAGCCTGACGTCCACCGCCAGTCTCCTCCTCGAGTGGAGCGTGCAGGCATCCCTATTGGCTGAACCTTTGACCAGCTCAGGGAGTAGGCTGGAACACGCTGCAAAACCCAGCCCCAGGAAAGAGCACCCGGCCTGTTTTTTTTGCTATTTATTGGTTGATTCTAACGGTTTCCCCAGGCAAGAGCTAACAGTCCAGCAAAGGGAGTTTCCTGGCCTCTCCAAGCTGTTAGTGCCGGCAACTTGTTCTTGAAGTGGACGTGTTCTTGAAGTGTCCTCAGTCCCTGCCTCTGTGATAAGGTGGGACCACTGACCCAGCTATTAATTGCCCAAACCAGCCTTGGGGCTGTGAGAAGCTCAGAAAACGTTTCTAGACCATTTCCTATTCAGCTTGGAGTAAAGGTGTGTAAAAGGGATACAGTTAGCTGGGCCTGGTGGCCACATGCCTGCAATCCCAGCACTGGGGATGAGGCTGGGCTGAACCAGAAAGATCAGAATTTCAAGGCCAGCTTCAGTTACTTAGCAAGTTCCAGGCCAGCCTGGGCTACATGAGACCTTGTTTCAAACAAACACACAAACGAAACAAAACAAAATTACCATTAAATAAAGCCTATCAGGAGCAGCTAAAGTGCAGAGGGTTTTTGCTGTATTTGAGAGTCCAAATAATGTTAGGGGTCAAAGACTACCTTTTTATGCACTTGAATCTTTTTGTAGAACTCCATCCACCCATAGTTAGCCTAACCACAACTCCAAGCTAACTGACAAATAAAAGATGCATAGTGGAGGGTGTGGGGCACCCACGGTTCCAGGTATTCTGGTGTTCTTTAAGCTTAAAACAGCCAGCATCCCTGGCCTGCACCCAGCTCCCCAAAGCAGTAGACTGTCCTCACAGGAGTAGTGGTGATATTACAAAAACTGGTGCCTCCTCCCCGAGGCTCACACTAGGGTCCCATTCTTGCTGTCATAGCGAGGTGTGGCCTGGGGGAAGCGAAGCGTGGCATACTCTGTAGCAGTTTCTGAATACAGTTGTTTCACCTCCCCGGCAGAGAGTGGCTGCATTCGGCTAAACACTTGAATGTCCGCATAATGTAAGTTGCTCTCCTCCAATGTGAAATCTGAACTCTTCTCTTGAGATACAGGCTGGTGTAGCACTTGCTCATACATTGGTCCTGTTGTCTCAGAGCCCTGAGAGGAAGTGACAGAATTAAGGGAGTTTCTTGACTTGGTTTTCCCCCTCACCTCCAATGCAGAGTCAGACTGAGGTTCATTTTGTGTTGCTCCTTGGGAGGACAGTTAACATGAACAATTTCTCTCTCTCTCTCTCTCTCTCTCTCTCTCTCTCTCTCTCTCCCTCCCTCCCTCTCTCTCTCTCTCTGACCTCTCTGTGTCTTTTCTCTCTTCTCTCTGTATGTATGTATGTATGTATGTATGTATGTATGTATGTATGTATGTATGTATATCTCATGGAGCTTTGCATTTGGAGGTCCGAGGATAACCTCAGTAAGGGTCCTTGCTTTCCACCTTATTTGAGACAGGGTCTCTTGTTGCTAATACATAAGCCAAACTAGCTGGCTGAAGAGCTTCCAGAAATCCCCCTGTCTCTGCCTCCCATCTCCTGGCAGGGGAACACTGGGATTACAGACGTTTTACCTTACTGCATCTGGCCTTATGCAGTTTCTGGGAATCCTAATTCAAGTCATCAGGCTTACATACAAGTGCTTTACCCACTGAGCCACCCCTCCCCCCTCCGGCCCATATGAGCAATTTCTACAGATGGCTGAGACATATCTATTCCAGGGTGAAAAGGCTGAGTGCTAGGATCCCACATCTGAGTAGGTCTGAGGGGACAGAGGCCTGTCATTACCTTTGTGCCTTTCTGCCTCAGCTGTTGCTGCTGCCGCTTCAATATGCTCAATGTGGGTCTTGCTTGGCTCCCTGTGGAGAAGAACTTCAACTTAAATTCATTCTCTTTTCCCTGTCTCTACTGAAATTATCCTCTTCCAACCTCTATTAGATTAGTGGGGCTTCTAATGACTCTCCCTGACTCCATTCCCACTTCTACCATTCCCGTATCTAAAGTCCTTCCCAGGGTCTATGATCTGGCCCATTACAAATGGCTGTACTTCCATCCTCACTGCCCATCAGCCCCTAAACATAGTTTCACAAATGTGATAAGCACCATATGCTAGTCCTTGGGCTATGCTCTGGGGATAGGGTGAGTAGGCTGTTTCCGCTGCTTCAGGAAGTTTACAGACTACCACATAGGACAAATGAGTCAACAGACTGTTACCATAGTACAGTAGTAAGTGCTCAGCTCCACCAATGGTCAATTACCCCATGTGTCTACATGAGCTGCCTCCTCTGCCTCTGCTGTCACTTCCTCTACTGAATGTGACATGATTCCTGTGGCACTGGTGCTCCCTCATCCTCCCACAGCACAAGCGTATGTCTGTTACAGCATCAGTAAATAATATTATAATTATTTATGTATGTGAATCTGTCTCTCACACTTGATTTTCAGCTCTCCCAGAGCTGAGACCATGTAGCCTTCCCCCTGTGCCTCTCTTCCTCCATAGAACCCCACAGACCAGCTCACCTACAATATAAGTGCTCAGTGGTACTTTCTGGATGAATGAAAGAATGAGTAACGGACCCTGCCACTCTGAAGTGATGGGAAAGGTGAGATCCACAGGTTTAGGGCTGGTACTGGGCCCAGTAAACTAAAGATGCTTTATGATATAACTTCTCCCTTTGCCTTGTCCAAGGCCACTCCTCTTTTATACCTTTATACCCTTTCAAGGATGCTAGTTCTGTTGTCTTCTGTAATCTCCTTTGCTCTCAATACCCTCCCACCCTGGAAGTTACCTGTTTTGTTTTTCTTCTGGAAGGATGATGGGCAGCTCCTGCGGTAGAAAAACAGATCACCTATGTGCAAGAGCTCTGGCCTGTATCTTCTCCCCATCATATTTGCTCTGTGCTCTCCTTCACATTCTGAGGTGACCTTCCCCCACTTCCCTAAAGAGTCACTGTATGCCAGGTTCAGCCTGAAAGTATTTGTCATGGGTACCGATGGTTCTGGAAAGTGGAATGGTAAAACTGACATAACCAAACTCAAAATACAGCTTTAGGTAACCAGGCACTACATGCCAGGGATGGAGCTGGCTTGAAGGCTATTCTGGGATTGTCTATCAAGCTAATCCCAGTAGAGGGTAAGGGAAACCTGCCAAATTATGGGATATATTCCTGGATCCAGAGACTGTCTCGCTTCTTCAGTGCTATTTTGGGGGGATCTTTGTCAATCTTGGACTTTCATTTTGGGAATCATAGAAGCTGTCACAACCAGGGCTAACTAGTTAAGGAACCTCAAAGCTCTATTCTAGGAGGTGGTTACCCTCCTTCCTTCCTGTCCTTGTTCATAACAGAGAAAGTGAGAGGTGTTTAACCTTTAAATGCTCTTTGAATCACTCTAGCTATCTACAGAATAGGAAACACTGAATTTGGTGAGTGACTCAGCTACTCTGCCCCGGGGTCCCTGATGGAGCCTGTGTGTCTCTACATGATTGTAACAATCTGATGCCCAGAGAAGGAACACTTGTCTTAGGAAATAGGCTGAATAGTTTGAGACTTACTCCAGATGCTTTTTCTTGTTAGTACATTTCCAAGTCTCACCAGAGCTAACCTCATCTCCCTGTCTAATTTTTGCAGGAAGTTTCCTTCTTCTGGTAATTAATAGGGGAGATATGAATATTTTTCCATATACATTTGATAAAGAACTCTGTTTTGAACAGATTTTCACTTTTGAGGCAACTTGCTGAGTATAGGGGAGTAGTCTTTATCCAACTACTGTGAGTGGTTTGGGAGAAAACCTATTCTGTGTCTTTCAACTTCTTCCTCTGCTATTAAAGCGTTTGCTTTGTGTTCCTGCTACCTCTCCAGAGTCTTAGTGTAAGAACTAAAGAATCTTCTAATGCCTTGCCCCTTGTCATTCCTGTTTTCCTACTTATTTCTATGCAAGTGGACAGGGAAAATATTAGTTCTAAAATACATGACTGGAGCTATCCAATTTTAGTGAACAGAGCCTGTTCCCAAGTTGGATATTGTGCAATCCATGTGTACAACCTAGACTATTCATGACAGAACATATTTAGATCAGAACTAAATGAGCCATCTCCAACAGTGGCAGTAGGAATAAAAATTAGTAAATCTGGGGACTGGAGAGATGACTTCGAGGTTAAGAGCACTGGCTGTTCTTGCAGAGGACTGGAGTTCTATTCCCAGCACCCACATGGCGACTGATGGCCATCTGTTAACTCCACTTCCAGGGGATCTGATGCCCTCTTCTGACCTCTGCAGGCATTGCATGACATGGGTGCATTTACATACATGCAAGCAATACATTCATAAACATAAAATAAAAATGATAAATAAAATACTTAAAAATATCCTGAATGTCCAATATTAGTGAGTGACTTAATAAATGGAATATATAGTCAATGGCAAATTAAGTATGCTCTTAGAAAAAAGGCTGGAAAAACACCTAATAGCATGGAAGAATTTATGGAAGTGCTGGGTTTGGTGGCTCAAGCCTTTAACCCCAGCACTCAGGAGGCAAAGGCAGGCAGAGCTCTGTGAGTTCAAGGCCAGCCTACTCTACATAGTGTGTTCTAGGCCAGCCAGAGCTACATAGTGAGGCCCTGTCTGAGAAAAGGAAAATATGGAAACATACTAAAGTGTTCTTGTCTTCTCTGAGTACTTATATTTTTATTTTTTGCTCTTGGGTATTTTCCAAACTTTTACAATGAATGTTTACTACTTTTGTATCAAAACAACAACAAAAAATATTCTACAAAAAATATATATTGTCATACTATCTTTAAGTCTGGGTTTATTTATATAAAGAAACAGAACAATTTTTTTTTGTGTCTTTTTGAGACAGGGTCTCCCTGTAGCCCCAGCTGTCCTGGAACTCACTAAGTAGACCAGGCTGGCCTTGAATTCACAAAGATCTGCTTGCCTCTGCCTCCCAAGTGCTAGGATTAAAGGCGTGTGCCACCACACCTGGCCAGAAACAGAACAATTTTTATCCAGTCTACTAATAGAGGTTTTTTGAGACAGTGTCTCCCTATAGCCCCTGCTGGCCTGAAACTCACTATGTAGACCAAGCTGGCCTCAATCTCACAGAGATTCACCTGCCTCTGCCTCCTGAGTGCTGAGATTAAAGGTGAGCGCCACCATGCCACCACCCTAGGCCTCCCTATTATTTTTTTAAAATTTTATTTATTATTTTTATTTTATGTGTATGCGTGTAGTATTGCCTGCATGTAGGTAAGTGCACTCGTGTCATGCAATGCCCAAGGAGGTCAGAAGAGGCTGTCGGATCCCCTGGGACTGGAGTTACGGACAGTTGTTAGCTGCCATGTGGGTGCTGGGATTCAAACCCGGGTCTTCTGCAAGAACAACCAGTGTTCTTAACCGCTGAGCCATCTCTCCAGCCCCTCCCTACTATTATTTTAAGAGGCAAAAATAGATTTTGGTTAGAATCTTTGGCATAGTCTTTAGAATGACTGTGTCTGACCAACTGAATTTTTAACCTCTCTGGGCCTCCAAGTTCTTATTAATAAAATGAGGACAATAGAATCTAAACATCATGGGATTATTGTAAGGATTAAATAAAATAGTGAAACATATTAAACATGACTCCTGACATAAAACAAGCATCAGCAAAAAGCAGAGATGGGGCCTGTCTGTAACCCAAGCACTCAGGAGGGAGAGCTGTCACTCATTGAAAGCCAGCCTGGTCTATGTAATGAGTTCCAGAGCAACCAGAAGTATATAGTGGTACCCCCATCTAATAAATAAATAAATGCAAAGAAGTGTGGGATCAAATTTCCTTTTACTACCACATCTGCATCTATCACTGCCAGGTATATAGTACATGTTTGATAAATATTTGCTTAATAACTGAACAGATAAATGAATTCATAGGCATGGGACTCGAATCCAGTGTCCTGACTTCAAATCATATGTGCTTTCCAATGTACCTCAATTATCTCTCTGCATATAATGTTTATTTGTAAATAAATAATCCTGGAATCTGCCCCAGACACAGAGCAATGTAGCTAAGAGGAAGTGGCCAGAATAAAACTGTCTTAAGTTTATGGTGGTGATGAATACTTGGGGAAAAAAGTTACAATACTACAGATACTCTATTATGTTTTTACTATAACCTTTGCTCTCTAAAACAAACCTATGATGCACACAGGTGTTAACCTCTATTTTACAAGTGAGAACACAGAGAAGTTACAGGACTGCCTGAGGTCACACAGCAAATAAGCACGAAAGTCAGTTGTATTCATATATCTCATAGACATTCCTCCCACTTCCGCTGTTTCAAACACTTGTCCAAGTCCAGTTTGCTCAATTCAGGATTACATCAGTGATTACCTAGTAAGGAAACTATGGGCTGGAAGTCAGGCAGCCTAGCTTGGAATCTTGATTGACCTGCTAAGGCACTATCCATGTGACAGAAGACAAATTAGTTAACTTTTCTGAGCCTGGGCTTTTTGGTTGGCTAAAAGATGGGAGGGAGGATAAGAACACTTCTTCACAGAGGTATTGGGAAAATTAGAAAGCACTCAGATGCTGCATTTACCATTTGGAGAAAAAGGAAAGGAAAGAGAAGAGAGAAACAATGCCAGTTCACCAGTCCAGTCAGGCTCTGACGGTTCTACAGACAGCACTTGGCTGTGTTTTCTAAGGTGTCCTGAAGGGAGTAAAGATGGGAAGGAAGTGCCGCCCTGGTGTTGGGACCAGAAGGAAGCAGGCATTATCTCCAGTCTCTCTGATTCTCCGGGCTTCATACCCACCACCAGAGAAGGTCCCTTCCACCCTTCCACTCTACTCACCAGCTTCCCCCGCAGCAGAGCCTGTTTCCCATGGCGCGCAGAGAAAGGAGACCAGCTGTTTTTTCGACATAAAGAGGCTTGCGCATTTCCTGGTTCCAGGTTTAGCTTTCCGAGGCAGCTCCCTGGGAGGCTCTGTCAGTGTCAGATTTCAACCTAGCAGATTGGACTTTGGAAGCCACCTGGTGGAAAGATTCCCAGGTGACTGTTCCCAGCTAGAGGGTAGAACAATACACAACGGGTCCAGGTGAGCGCTATCTCACCTTTGGGATTTGAAACTTCTTTTGATGAAGCCATAAACGTTGAGCTTCAAGCTTCAATTAAAAAAGAAACCTGAGATAGAAAAGGGTTCTGGGTTTCCACAGGAAATGTTTCTCTCACCATATCGCAGTCTTTGAAATATATCCTCTATAATGGATAAAGGATCTTCCCCCAGGTTTGCCGGACACACTCAGGTTTGAGTTTCACGGTTAAAGTAATTGGTACCAGCTTCTTATGATCCCTGTTTAGAATCTGGGTTTGAATCCTAGATGCTTTCAGAACCTGATGTGTGGGGAAATGGAATCCTTTTATATTCTCCCTCACTTGGAATTAACATTAGCAAATCTGTTAACCTTTCAGCACCTAGATTTCTAGCACCATGAAGTGTAACGGAATGTATTATCCTGTTTCTGGGAAAATTCAGGTGGTTCTATGACTGAAATGGCCATAGGATCCCTTGACCACTCACTGCCCCTTCCCCAGTTCAGGACTCTAGAATCTCTATACACACACACACACACACACACACACACACACACACACACACACGACAGGCTTGGTGTCAGAACCACACACACACACACACACACGGCTTGCTTCTGATGACCCAAAGGTGCACTCATTCCTGCTCACCAGCAATGAGGTAGGATGCAGCTGAGTGGATTCACCTTTAGAAAAATATGGGCTCCAGAAAAATCTTTGAAATCTGTAAGTCTCATCTTCAGCCCTCTCATCGCATCTTAGTGTCTTCCTGGGATGCTCATGATCAGCCTCCACTCCTTCTGGACTCCAAACTCTTCCCCATCTTAAGAAAAATGGGGATGGGAGTAACAACCTTACAGGATTGTGATGATTAAATGAGATATATGTATATAAAAAGTCCAGGGCCTGGCATATGCAAGCTCTCAGTGAGTCTTAGCTATTCATTTTTTAAAATATTTTATTCATTATTTTTATGTGTATGTGTGTATTGCCTGCATATAGATAAATGCACCATGTCGTACAGTGCCTGCGGAGGACGGAAGATGCTGTCAGATCCCCTGGAACTGGAGTTACAGACAGTTGTTAGCTGCCATGTGGGTGCTGGGATACGAACCCGGGTCTTCTGCAAGAACAGTCAGTGTTCTTAACCACCGAACTGTCTCTCCAGCCCCTTAGCTATTCTTTTTTAAACAATCTTATTATTTTCATTTTATGTACATGAATGTGTTGCCTGCATGTATGTAAGTGCACCTATGTTGTGCAATGCCCATGGAGGTCAGAAGAGGCCACATGATTCCCCTGGAACTGGAGTTATGGACGTTTGTTAGCTGTCATGGGTGTTGGGAATCGAACCCCAGTTTTCTCCAAGAGTAGCCAGTGCTCTTAACTGCTGAGCCATCTCTCCAATCCCAAGTCTTAGCTATTCTTATGATTAATATTACATCTTGTTCTCAGCCAATTATCAGATGCTAATGCATTTTATTTTTTTGCCCTGTGTTCCTAATCATCACATATGCTTCTCTCCTGCAGACCATCTGTACTCTACTGTTAACTGTATCCTTTTCATACTGCTACCTGTCCCTGCCACTTCCCCAGATCAAAACCCAGTAATAATTTCCTGTTTCCTACATGATAGAATTCAAACTTCTTAGCCTGACACTCAAAGCCCTTCATAATCTGTTGTTTCCAGCTGCCTTTCCTGTAATTTACAGGAAATCACCTAGAGACTTTTAGATGGCCAGAAACTCCATAGAAAAGAAAAAAAGAGCCCCTTTGGGGTATAAAACCTGATGTGCCTTAAGCAGAATTAATAGAAGTGTAGAATGCTAACCAAGGGTATTGATTATTTCATTGAAATCTGAACCAGTCAGTCCATGCCTGGAATAGAAATTTTAGGCCCATCTGTTGAATTTCAGGTTCTGTTGTCAAATGGAAGTGTGTTGAAAAGAAAATTGTTTGGGTAATAGGTGATACAGAAAGTGCTACAAGATATGGCTAAAACAATGAGAGGAGGGACGCTTTGGAAGACCAGGACAGTAATCTTTTAAATATCTGAATGACTTTCAATTGAAAGATTAATTGTATTTGTCTTCTGGATTTAAGTAGAACCAATAGGTACAAGTTACTAAAATGCATATTTTGATCCAACAGGAGAAATTAGCCAGGTTTGGTTGTGACAGCCTGCAATTCCAGATACTCTGGAGGCTGAGGCATGAAGATAGGCCAGCCTGGGCTACATAATGAATTCAAGAAACATCCGGGCAGCTTAGTTAGACCCTAGACCCTGTCCTAAAACAAAAAGTAAAAAAGGGGACTGTGGTAGAGTGCTTGCCTTGAATGTACAAGACCCTAGGTTTAATCTCTAGTACCAAAATAAATACATACATAAATAATGTTATTTGTATGTACAAAGAGAAAATGGAACAGGTTAGTTTATGAAGTTCTAAGTTCTCTGTCACTCAAAATTTTCAGAAGCTGATTAACAACTTTAAGATAATTTGGGGGTTGTTTTGTTTTGTTTGTAGATAGGGTCTCTCTATGTAGCTCTGGCTGGCCTGAAACTTGCTATGTAGATCAGACTGGTCTCAAATTAACAGAGATCTGCCTGCCTCTAACTCCCTAGTGCTGGACTAAAAGTATATGTCACCATGTGTGGCCTGCTTTAAGAGAATTTTGATGGAGAGGGGATTTGGCTAAATTGGAGGTTTTCTTTTTTTGGGGGGGGAGTCTTTTTGAGACAGGGTCTCCCTGTAGCCCCAGCTGTCCTGGAACTCACTATGTAGACCAGGCTGGCCTTGAACTCACAGAGTTCCGCCAGCCTCTGCTTCCCGAGTGCTGGCACCACCACGCCTGGCTTTTGTTTTTTAATATTTTATTTATTGTTTTTATTTTATGCGTATGTGTGTATTGCCTACATGTATGTAAGTGCACCCATGTCATGCAGTGCTTGAGGAGGACAGAAGAGGGTGACAGCTCCCCTGGAACTGAATTATGGACGATTGTTAGCCACCATGTGGGTGCTGGGATTTGAACTTGGGTCTTCTGTAGGAACAGCCAGTGTTCTTAACCATTGAGCCATCTCTCTAGTTCAAATCACAAGTTTTCAAATGTTTCCCTGTTAAGGAATTCTTTCTTTGATTTAAACAATGCTCTGGGGATAGGAATGTAGTTGAGTGGTAGAGTATATACTTAATGTGTGTAAGGACTTGGGTTCCCCCAAATAAGTAAACCAGTTAAGCTCAATTATAAAACAAATTATGAAGCTGTTTAGATTGAAATTTGAGTAGAATTTTGTAAATTCTTGGTTTTTTGTTGTTTTTTTGTTTGTTTGAGAGCATAGACTGACCTGAAACTCATGATGAAGCTAAGGATGACCGTGAATTCCTGATTCTCCTGCCTCTACCTCTCATGTGCTGGGATTATAGATGTGGGCCACCACACCCAGCCTTTTACTTACTTGTTTTTTACTTAAATAAAGCTTATTTTTAATTAAAGGTCGCTATTTTTGAATTTCACGGTTATAGGACTAAAGAGATAACGTCTCCTTTTCCTTAACTGTATCTCTCTTTTTTTTTTTTTTTTAACTTTCTGCTCTATGGTAAAAGTTACTGTTAATTTCATTGCTAATGATATAAAAACAGGTCAGCAAGCTTCCTCCAAAGGGCTCGATAGTAAATATTTTAGGTTTTATGGGCCATATATGCTGTCATAGATTAATTCTTTTATAACCTTTTTAAAAATGTAAAAGCCATTTTCAGTTTGCAACACACACATACACACACATACACAATGGACAAAGTTGGTCTGCAATTAGCACTTTTCTAACTGCTGCTATAAAATATCTACTTTGTCTTGTCATAGAAATTGCTCTCTTCAGGCTTATGTCCAGCCTTTTAAAAATTCTTTTTCTGTGCTGGAGAGATGGCTCAGTGTTGAGAGCACTTGCTGCTCTTGCAGAGGACCTGGGTTCAGTTCCCAGAACCCATGTGGCAGCTAACAGCCATCCATAATTCCAGTTCCAGGAGATCTGATGCCCTCTTATTTTTTTAAAGATTTATTTTATTTTTAATTGTGGGGGGGGGCGGGGGCCAGAGGTGTCAAGTATTCTGGAACTTGAGTTATAGGTGGTTGTGAGCCACCTGATGTGAGTACTGGGAGTCAAACTCAGGTCTTCTGAAATAGCAGTATGCACTCTTAACTACTGATCCATATCTCCAGCCCCCTGACGCCTTCAATTGACCTCTGTGAACACTGCATGCATGTGCTGCACTTATATATACACATAGCAAAACACTCATACACCTAAAATAAAAATATTTTTTCTTCTCAGCTAGATGTTACTGAGAGTAGTTAATAAAAGACTACAATTTCTTACCATTTAGATTTACAATGTATAGCTCTCATATTACTTTGTATATTACTTGATAAATATTTATTGAATTAATGAATGAAGAGTTACATAGAATCAATGCTATTTCTCTGAGGTATGCTTTGACTTTTTAAATATTTTATTTATTATTTTTATTTTATGTGTATGAGTGTTATGCCTGCATGTAGGTAAGTGCACCCATATCATACAATGCCGGTGGAGGACAGAAGAGGCTGTCCCTGGAACTGGAGTTATGGACAGTTGTTAGCTGCCATGTGGGTGTTGGGATTTGAATCCAGGTCTTCTGCAAGAACAGTCAGTGTTCTTAACCGCTGAGCCTTCTCTCCAGCCCAGTATGCTTTGATTTTATTTATTCATTCATTATGGAGTGCCTGGATATAACCCAAAGCCTGTTAGGCAAGCACTCTCCCACTGAGCTACACCCTAACTCTGCTTTCTATTTTAATAGAAGGCAATTTTTTAACCAAAAATCCAATTCCTTAAATAAGAGTTCTTATCTCAGGGATCCATACATTCTCAAAAATTGTACTGACAAATTTGGAAGCCTGTATATTTTTCTGGTAAGAGGATGAATAGTTTTTGTTAGGTTTCAAATGGATTTTTAACTCCCAAAAGTTAGGAAACAACCAAGTTAGTGAAAGAATTTCAGGTATCTACCATAACCTGGGAAAATGTATATATTTGAGGGCAAGGAAATCTTCTGGACATGCCTCAAATCATACACATGTGTGCTCTCTTGGTCTAAAAGACAAGTGCCCGAACCAACTTTTCTGAACACATCATACACCACTACAATAAGACCGTAGAGGCTGCACTGCATCTTAGATTAGGTGGGGGTGTGCTATGATTCCTCTCTGTGAATTATCACCAAGTCAGAGACAATACATGGGCCTTCCGTGTACTCAGGATGGGGGATGTTGTGGTTCGGTGATAATGGTGGAGACTTCTGTGTCTGTATGTCCATGTATGCATACTCATTCCCTCCATCAGAGACTGTTTCAGTGCACAGCCCTTAGTATGGGAAAGCAAAGCATTCACTCCAGGGCTTTAGGCAACTCTCTCTAGCCAAAAAAACATCTTCCCAACCCCTACCCAAAAAGGGCCAGACAGCCTGGAGACCCTTGTTTTTGTGTCTCTAATCACCAGCTCAGACAGTGCCCTCTGGGCTGTTTGGATGGCATATCCCTTTCCCTCCCAGGATCACTCCCTATTTTGTTGCATTGTGAGAAAATTAAGGCTAGGAATTTGATCTGGAGCCAGTGTCAGCTTCCCGGTGTGATCTCTGTATCCAAGTGTGAGCTTAGGAAACTGGGACGATGGGCATATTTCACCCAGGAGCTTTTTTGTCTCTTCTCATCCATCCCATCTTTCAGGCCAAAGAACAGGGAGCAGCACAAATAAGGCCCTGAGATTTGGGTTTATTCAGCTTCACCCAGAACTAAACCAAAGGCTATGACACGTCCCAAGGGACCAAACCATACATTGTGGATCATGCACCTTTCCTTTCCCCCAAGGACGCTGCTACCTCTAGGGTGGTGAGACTGCTCGAATCACCGCGGGAAGTAGCAAGGGATTCGCTGGGTGCTGGGTCTACAGCAGTCAGGGCTCAACTCTGGCTGCTTCTTCCTCTTCCTCTGGGTCAGGAGGCGCAGGGAGCAGGGAGATGTAGACCTCATTGACCTCTGTGTCCAAGTGTCGGCCACCCCGAGGGGCCTCCAGGTTAAGGATGCCATCATGGGAGAGAGCGGCTCGGACCCGCCAGGGGTCCACATCCGCAGGCAGGACATAGGTGCGGCAGAACTCTCGCGACACGAAGCCATGACGGTCCAGGCGCTGGGGGTGCCGAGCAGACACCTCCAACAAGTTGTCCACAGTCCTTACGGTCACCTCATCCGGGGTAAAGTGGCTCACATCCAGAAATGCCTGGAACTTGCCCTCACTGAGCCTGAGCTCCGAGGCCCCCGCCCTGCTACCCTCCCCAGCTCCGGCAGCCCGAGGTCGGACATAGTAGCCGTGGTAGAGAGTAGGGGTCAGGATCTCTTCTGGCAGGAGGCCTGGGAGGCAGACAGAGAAAGAGAAGGCGAGATACAGGCTGAAGGAGGATGATGGGCACAGGCCTGAGATCAGGAGACCGGCTAGAGCAAGTGGGGAGGCAGCTTGGGGGCGGGGGCTAAGAAAAGAGATGGCAGTGGAGGAAGTAAGCCGGGTCTGGAAGGATAGAAGGGGAACCAGAAGCCCCCCGCCAGGCGTGCAAGGGCCCTCAAAGATGTGCAAGGCCCCCCAAGGTGTGCAAGACACAGGTATCAAAGGCCCCAAGCCTGCCCTGAGGTCGGTAGGAAGAGAGAGAACTTTGCTGGGGGGGAGGGGGAGGTCTGGTGTGGGAGATGACTTGATTTAGGAGTTCACTTAAGCCCAAAGTGGGGTGGAAGCCAGTGAGATTGGGCGTTGAGCCCAGATTTTTGGGAGGTGGGGGTGGGAGGCGTGTGGGCCGTACCTTCTCCGAATCGCTGCTCACCAAGGCGGCTGGGGTTGGCAAATTCGTACTCGGCGGTGGCCGGGTGGGCATGTGGCACCGAGCGACTGGACATGGCTGCTGGCGGCCCTGGTCGGAGGTGCAGCCCCAACAAGCTCAGTACGACCCCTCCAGCTGCCTGGAGAGCCAGGGCTCAGTTGGAGTGGGGGCGGGGTCTACACCACCCAAAATAGTGCAGAGCCACTGGGGAGGAGGGCGGGGAGCCAGGGCCCAAAGTGCAGCCATGAGGGTGTGATTCGCACAGCCTGGACCCCCCGGTCCCCTCCCCCGCATACCCTTCAGCTGTCAGAGGAGCTTGGGAAGACAGCTGAGAGGCCCTGGTCCTGGAGTGCGTTGGGGAGAGAAACTGATGCGCCACAGGAGAGCAAGGAGGGGCCTAGTTGAGACCCTCACAAATACTCTGTACATTTTCCACATGACCTTTTCTCCTCCTCAGTTGCAAGTACCATGCACCCTACTTAATAAAGCACCCAGGATTTAATGTTAGGTGAGCCACATAGCGTGAAAGTTGCAAGAAACATTTTCTGCTCTTTAATGTCAGGGTCTTCTGAACCCAGGTCAGCCCAGGGCACCAGTCAGATACCTGGTACTGACATGCTGGCCGTCCCTCTCTCTCCTCCAGGACTTCACAAAGAGTTAATGTCCCTGGGGCCCAGCCTAGGAAGATTCCAGTCCCTGCCCAGGCCCAAGATAGTTGCTGGCTCAATTCCCCTGGCATGCAAGACCAGAGAGAAGGAGGAGGGGCACACCACCAGCTGCTTGGGATTCCTGACTCGTCCCAGCTCCAGAGAACAAGGGTGGGGGTGGTGCCGTTGGGAGTGGACAGAGAGCTAGTGAAACAAGACCATGACAAGTCACTGGCCAGCTCAGCCGTGTTTGTGTTTCTCTTTTCTTAGCTCAGTGAGTACTGGGTATGTGTCACCCTGCCAAATCCCCGATCACAAGTCTCCATGAACCAGTGGTGAGCTCGGATAATAAAACCCCTGACATCACCATTCCAGAAGCTTCACAAGACTGCATATATAAGGGGCTGGCTGGAGCTGCGGCTGAAGAAGCTGACCAGCCAGCTGACCCCCTACATTCACGGAGCCACCATGGACATCGCCATCCACCACCCCTGGATCCGACGGCCCTTTTTTCCTTTCCACTCCCCCAGCCGCCTCTTTGACCAGTTCTTTGGAGAGCACCTGCTGGAGTCGGACCTCTTTTCAACTTCCACTTCTCTGAGTCCCTTCTACCTTCGGCCACCCTCCTTCTTTCGGGCACCCAGCTGGATTGACACTGGACTCTCAGAGGTAAGTCTCCCCTCTGCCTGGGCAGGAGTATCCTTCCTGGAACCTCTTGGACACTTTTCCATTTGTTTTCCTTTTCCTCATTGCCTAAGCCATCTTAGACACACGTGGTTACTAGTTTCTAATTTCTCCGTCCCTCAGGTACCTGTTTCTATTTGATGTTCTTTTGTTTCCTATTTATTACATTTTCCCATGCATGGTAAAGATTAAAGATCATCTTCTGTCCCCTAACTATTAAGGATACTCCTTTCTGCTTTTGTTCTAACAATCTGTAGTGAGAGAGTTGCCTTATCTCCTTTGCTCACCTCTCTGATACTTCCCACTCTGGTGGATTTTATCATCTCTAATTTTAGAGTGCAGAGAGACACCCACTTCATCTAAGCTTTTCATGTACCCTCATTGGAGCTGGAGACATCAGTGATTCTTTTCTCCCTCTCTGTTCCCTCTTCTGTGATTTTCTGGGTTCCTTGTGACTGTCAGGACACTGGACTCAGTCTATGCCTTCTGAGGAATCAATGTATATATCCACTTTTTGAAATACCCCACTTGGTCTAACAAGGTGGGAGAAGGGTTGACCAGATAAGATTGACAGAAGCTGTCACAGATAACATTCTGGTTTAAAAATATTCAGGTGTTAGGAAACAGGAGCTGAGTGGGCAAGGGCTTTGGAAGGACAAGCAGGACTAGCAGAACATTCCAGATTGAGTGGGTAGGAAACTTGGCAGAGACCTGAGCAAAAGAAAAGGGGGCCTTTGTCTTATAGACAAATGACAAAGGGCTTTGGGGTCAAAGAACCAGCAAAAGTCATGCCCAGACCCATCCTTGTGACTGGTCCCTGGGCAATCTGTCTTCTCTGTGCCTCCAAGTAATATTTGAAACTGATGACCAAGATGTAGTCTTGAATATCACTATAGTTGCTCGCATGAATTAGAGAGTTATGCTTATTCAGAAAATAATTTTTAGCAGACAAGAGGAGGAGGAGTTAGCTGGACAGAAAGCAAATCTTCAGAATGAGGAGACTACATCCTGCCATCTTTTCTGGTCCCTTCTCCCCTTGCTATTCTAGATGCGTATGGAGAAGGACAGGTTCTCTGTCAACCTGGATGTGAAGCACTTCTCCCCAGAGGAACTCAAGGTCAAGGTGCTGGGAGATGTGATTGAGGTGCACGGCAAGCATGAAGAACGGCAGGTAGGCAGCTTGTTCTTAACCTTTTGCTCATTCATTTAGTACGTACTGCCATCAGCCTCTGAGCCTTGCAGAATTCCAAGCCTGAAACAGAAGGGACTGGATCAGGAGTTACAAATCTAGAAAGCTAAATAAGGAAGGACCTGTTGTTATTGTCACTTGTCTTGATTGCCTTAGACTGGATAGTTGGCATCATTGCCCATTTAAGCCAGTGATTTGCAATCTTGGTCCTATTAGAATAGCAGAAAGATTTTCAAAATTCCCATCACTCAGGCATATATCAGGCCAGTTAAATCAAAATTTTTAGGAGTGTCTAACTCAGGCATCAACATTTTTGAAATCTCTGTCAGTAATTTCAATCTATAATGGACTGAGAACCATCGATTTAGGCATAGTGTTGTACATAATGACATTAACTACATATACCCTGAAGGCATTTAAGTCTGCGAGTTTTATTTTAGATGTTCAGGATTCCATCCATTTCTCCTCTTCAGCTCATCTTAATGCTAAGACACTTGGTCTGCCTACATTTCAGAGCTGTACTCAATTCCTAATCCCATGTGACTGAGAGGAAGTCAGTTAACTGAGACCTGTTTGGATGGATGCTTGGGATTCAGCAAGTGTTAAGGGTTAGGGTTAACAACTCCTTGGGGGGATTCTGGAAAATTTCTCATGACTTCCTGAAAAGGTATTAAAATCGCTTCTTAACAATTGATGATAACTTGGAGCCTATGTATAACTGGTACAACTCAGCCTGTCTCAGTTTTGCTCTTATGATAGAACAGGACGGACCACAGACCCCCCAAGATAGTCACTTTTTATAAAATCAGCAATTCTGTTGGTTTGGAACAGTCTGAGACATTACTGAGGAATTGGAATAATTTATGTCCTTCCTCAGGGACTCAGAACCTCAAGGCCAGGGTGAGAATCCCAATTCCATGGGTCCAGTCAACACAGATTCAATCCTTTGGTAAATACCCTTCAATGAAACAGTGCCTTGGGATTTGAAGATCTATGAAGTTTGGGGTTTCAGATTTCTCAGACTTTCAAGGGTAGGAATGACCACCTGGGCAACCTTATTACTAGCCTTAACTCTGAAAAGAATAGCTACTGATTGAGCTCTCTATATATTTGCAAAGTTGGGAGATTTAACTCAGGGCCTCTTATGTGCTAGATAAACGCTCTGTCACAGAGCTACATCCCCAGTCCTAAATGTTTTGTTGTTGTTTTTCCCTGATGTTGTCAGTGCATTTGGTCTTACATAAGGAAGGAGGCTGTCTTGATTTGGGGCAAGTGGAGGTTATCGCCTGTCCTTATGTCTCTGCTTCTCTTTACTTTCTTGGATTAGGATGAGCATGGTTTCATCTCCAGAGAGTTCCACCGGAAGTACCGGATCCCAGCTGATGTGGACCCTCTCACTATTACTTCATCCCTGTCATCTGATGGGGTCCTCACTGTGAATGGACCAAGGAAACAGGCCTCTGGCCCTGAGCGTACCATTCCCATCACACGTGAAGAAAAGCCTGCTGTCACTGCAGCCCCCAAGAAGTAGATGCCCTTTCCCTCATTGCATTTTTTAAAACAAGAAAGTTCCTCATCAGTGAATGAAAATCTTGTGACTAGTACTGAAGCTTATTAATGCTGAGGGCAGGCCCAAATTATTAAGCTAATAAAATATCATTCAGCAATAGCTGTCTTGTGTTTGCATATTCAGTATGCTTTTAAATATACAAATATAGCAGATCTATTTCATTATCATGTTATGATTCAGTGATGATTCAGACTGACCGGTTTCATCACTTCTTAATGGTATCCACCTAGGCAAGTTATAAATCTTTCTAATCTTCAGGTCTCCCATTCCAGGTCTTCCATTTATAACATTGAGTACTAGTTTGGAGAGCACTGTAGACCAGGCTGGCCTTGAACTCAAAGAGATCTGCCTGCTTCTGCCTCCTGAGTGCTGGGATTAAAGAAAGACGTGCACCACCATACCCAGCTATAAATACATTTTTAAAAGATTAACCTTTGCGGGGCTGGAGAGATGGCTCAGCAGTTAAGAGCACTGACTGCTCTTGTGGAGGACCTGGGTTCGATTCCCAGCACCCACATGGTGGCTACAAACTGTCCTTAACTCCAGTTCCAGGGGAATCTGAAGCTCTCTTCTGACCTCCGGGGCACTGCACAACATGGGTGCACTCACATACATGCAGGCAATACACTCATACACATAAAATAAAAATAATAAATAAAATATTTAAAAAGATTAACCTTTGCTTGCAATGCAATCAGAAATCAGCTGACAGCTAGTGAAGAAAGGGTAAGAGTTACTACTAAACATTTGTCCCAGGTACCCTAGATTAAGGAGAAAAAAAAATGGGTTATGCCCCTATCAGACTTCAGGGAATATGAGTTTCTCTAGCCAGGGAAAAGATCTTTCTCTTTATATTTTAGCTCCTCATTTCAGTAAGTGGAACAAATCTGAATTAGTTCTGGTTAATACCACATAAAAGACTTTAGGGCATCTCTGAAATTAATTACATCACCAGGGAGACATGGTAACCTCAGTCTTACTTTACATTTTCCTGCTGATAAGCTTTGTCTTCAGCTTCTTCAGCTGACTCTCAAGGACAGTAAATAGGGCTCAGGTGATGATCACCAAATGAGCCTGCCAGGTGTAGTCCAGACTATTAAGCAAATGCCTTTTCAGATAAGACCGGGGAATATCCATCTCGCTTCCAAAACCAACCAAAACCCAAACATCTACAAAAACAAAACTCCCAAATCCAAAAGAATATCTCCCCCAAACCCAAACCCAACCATACTGTTCATTTCTTTTTTTTATTTGGGGGGGGGTCGAACAAAGCTTATGATTCATTTACTAAAAAACAGTCCTGCTATAGGTTACCTGGGAAAAATGTTTAGTAGTAACTCTTACCTCTTCTTCACTAGCTGTCAGCTGATTTCTGATTGCACACAAAGGTTAATCTTTTTAAAATGTATCTATAGCTGGGCGTGGTGGCGCATGCCTTTAAGCCCAGCACTTGGGAGGCAGAGGCAGGTGGATCTCTGTGAGTTCAAGGCCAGGCTGGTCTATGTAGCGAGTTCCAGACCAGCTGGGACTACAGGGAGTCCCTGTCTTTAAAAAATGTATTTAGATTATCATTATTGAGGAGAGAGAGAGAGAGAGAGAGAGAGAGAGAGAGCTAGCTAATTTGCAATTTGCATGTAGGAATCAGAGGATAACTTTCTTTCCATTGTGGGTTCTATGGATGGAACTTGAGTCATCTGGCTGGTGTGACAAGTGCTTTTACCCACTGAGCCATTGCAGTGGTTTGAATGAGAAATGTCCCTCATAGGCTCATGTATTTGAACACTTAGTGGTACTGTTTGAGGAGGTCATGGAACTTTCAGGCTGTGGAGCTGGATGGCAGGCTTTGAGAGTTTATACCCTTGCCCAGCTTCCAATATGAGCTCTCTGCTTCATGTTTGTGGTTGAGGATGTGATCTCAGCTTCCTGTTCCAGCTGCCTGCTGCCATGCTTGTTCTGCCATTACAGTTCCATAAGTCAGTTAAAATTTTTATTTTTATGTGTCTGAGTGTATTGCTTGCATGTATGTAAGTGTACCATGTTGTGCAGTGCCCTCAGAAGAAAGAAGTGGGCATCAGATCCCCGAGAACTGGAGTTATAGATGGTTGTTAGCCACCACGTGGCTGCTGGGATTCAAAGCCGGGTCTTCTGCAAGAGCAGCCAGTGTTCTTAACCACTGAGCCATCTCTCCAGCCCCCATAAGTCACTTTTGGTCATGGTGTTTTATCACAGCATCAAAAAGTAACTAATGCAGCCATCTTGCTGCTCCTCAGTGCTTAATCTTAATGTGAGAGCATTGCTTCACAAAGCATATCATTTGGGAAATAAATGTGTTTTTGAAATATCCTATAGCAAACAGTTGCTTAAGTTTTCCATGTCACAGAAGAATGGAGCTAGGATCATGTAAGTTCCAAATCTATACAGGTTCAAAGTACTTTCTCTTTAAAAACAACTCCCTAATAATCTGAAATGTTCTAAACCTACTCAGAAATGACTTTTCTCCAAATTTATAGCCAATTTTTGTCACTATGTAGCCAATACTGTTGGCCACATAAGGATGCTATTATTCCCTTTCAATCTTGCTAACGGCACCTCAGGTTTGTTTCAATATCCACTATACTCTTCCTGGTCAAATGTGCCAGGTAAGAGACACTAAGTTTCAGCCACAGGTAGTCCAAATAAAGCAGAGAATTTCCCTTCCTCTGTAGCTTGTCATGAAAGCGATATGACCCAATTGTGACAAAAGGGAAAGTAAAGTGATCCGCTTGAAATGCTTCTAGAAACCATTTTTTATTATTTTTAAAAAATTTTAGGAGAAGCATTTCATTACAGCTTTAACATATTCAAATAACAATTTCCAGAGCAAAGATACATCTCTTTCAAAAGTGGCTATAAAATTTTTAGGTTCACAGTTGAATTAATACAGTTATTTAACTCAGTATAAACCCTGTAAGACATAAAATTGAATGAGTTTTTAACCTTTAAAAAAGATTTCCATTTCATTTTAAAATATACTGTTTCTTGCAGAGACTCGTTTTTTTGCTAATAACACTTAGATGTTAGTGCATGCATCTCTAATCTGTATTTATCTATAGAAACGATGTTTAAACTAAGAAAAGAATGGCTAGGGGCTAGTTCAGTGCTAAGAGTTCTTGTTTAACATGTACGATGCCCTAGTTTCCTTCCCCAACACTGAAAAAAATGAAAACAGTACACTAAGAAAAAGTTGAGATGAAAGGGATATACAGGAGCAGAGAGGGAGAGAGAGAGAGAGAGAGAGAGAGAGAAGAGCAAGGGAGAGAGAGAGAAGAGAAAGGAGATACATTCAGAATATCTTCTCTTGGGACTCTATGAATACCTACAGAAGAAATCTTGGAGCTGGTTATTGACTTTACTTTTTGTCTCTGTGCATGTGTGTGTTCATGTTCATGTATGCAATTGCACATGCACATGTGTGCATGCATATGTATAAACAAGAGGTCAACACTATGTGTCTTTTGAAATCACTCTCCACCTTATTTTTATCTTGTGTCTGTGTGAACATGGGGATGTATATGCCATGATGCAAGTGTGATGATCAGAAGTCAACCTCAGGAGTTGCTCTTGCTTTCCATTTCATTTTTTCCCACTGTGTCAGGCTAGCTAGCCTTCTAGCTTCTGGGGATTCTCCTGTCTCTGCCTTCCATTTCCCTTAAGGACCTCTGAGGTAACAGACACATGTGCTACTGTGTTTGGCTTTACATGGGTTCTGGGTATTTGAACTCACATCTTCATGCTTGTGCGACAAATGCTTTATGCATTGTGTCATCTCCCCAGCCTCTACCTTATTTTTTTTTAAACATTCCATCTTTATTTTTTTGACAGGGTCTCCCTAGCCCCAGTCCACCTGGAACCCACTATGTAGACCAGGCTAGCCTTGATCTCACAGAGATCTGCCTGCCTCTGCTTCCTTAGTGCTGGGATTAAAGGCCTGTACCACCCCACCTGGCATTCCGTTTTTTTTTAAAGTTTAGTTTATGTGTATGGGTCTTTGCTTATACATATGTGTATGCAAACTCTTGCTTGCTTGGTGCCTATGGAAACCAGAAAGGGCATTGAATTCCCTGAAACTGGAGTTACAGATGGTAGTGAGCTGCCGTGTTGGTGTTGGGAGATAAAGCAAGGCTCTCTTCAAGAACAGTAAACACTCCTAACTGCTGAGGCATCTCTCCAGCCCTTCTCCCTACCTTTGTTTTTGAGATAGCATCTCTCACTGAATCTGAAGCCTCACAGATTTGGCTGGCTAGCAAGCCCAAGGGATTCTCTTTCTCCTCCTCCTCTCTAGTGCATGTTGCTGTAACCAGTTTTTTTAAATACTGGGAACCAAACTGGGCTTGGTGGCTCACAACTTTAATCCCAGCACTGGGGAGGCAGAGGCAGGTGGATCTCTTTGAGTTCAAGGCCAGCCTGGTCTACACTGTGAGTTCCAGGCCAGCTGGGGCTACAGGGAGATCCTGTCTGAAAAAAGACCAAAAAATTTAAAAAATACAAAATAAATACTGGGAACCAAACTTGGTGCATCGAGCACTTTACTGAATAAGCTATCTTCTCAGTCTCTTACTGATTTTTTTTAAAACAGTAGCATTGAGATACTATTCACATACTATTTCATTTGCTTGCTCAAACTTTTTATCGTCTTTTAAAAAAATATATCATCTTTAATATATTCACAGAACTGTACATTATCCTGAGAGTCAATTTTAGATTTCACTACTCAAAATTTTATACTCCTTAGTCATTGGTCTTCAATACCTTAACCCTCAGCCCTAGGCAACCTGTGTTTACCTTCCATTTGCACTGATTTGCCTAATTTGGATATTTCCTAATATGTGTGTATTGCCTGCATGTAGGTAAGTGCACCTGTGTCGTGCAATGCCCAAGGAGGTCAGAAGAGGGTGTAGGATCCCTTGGAACTGGAGTTACAGACAGTTGTTAGCTGCCATGTGGGTACTGGGATTCAAACCCGGGTCTTCTGCAAGAACAGCCAGTGTTCTTAACCGCTGAGCCATTTCTCCAGCCCCGTTTTTGTTTTGTTTTGTTTTGAATATTTTTTGGAACACCATACTTTCTATCCTTCATTAGTAGCTGGATTTTAGAGTGCTTCTATTCTTTGGATAGTATAAGATTTCTGCTATGAATATATAACTTTAGAACATAACTGTTTTCAGTTCTTTGGGGGAGAGTGGAATTGCTGGTCATATGGCAGGTCTACATTTAACTTTTTGAGGAACTTCCATATATTTTTCATAGAAGCTTGTTTGATCCCCAAGATCCACATGGTGGAGGAATGAACCGACTTTCGAAAGTTGTCCACTGACCTCTATACTTGTGCACACACATACACACAAAATAAATAAATGTAATAAAAAATTAAAGAAATTTGGAAGTATGTAAGCAGTATTGAGAGGTGCGGGAGTTGACAGTGTTACCTAGGATCAGTAAAAAGAGGGCAAAAGGACAAAGAGGAAGGGTTTACCAGAAAACTTAAGGGGTTGGCATAGGAAGATCAGCTCATAAAAGAGAGCTAGAATTAACCAGAGAATTGGGAGAAAACTGTTTGCCACAGTGTCGTAGAACCAAGGGGATGAGGCTCAAGAGGGAAGAGTGGCTAATCGAGCACAGGATAGAGTTCAGAATATAAAGGTCAAATAACACGGTCACTGAAGGACCCACTAGATTTGAGAAAACTACTTGCACAGTTTTTTATTATTTTATTATTTTTATTTTATGTGTATGTGTGTATTGTCTGCATGCAGGTAAGTGCATTCATGTTGTGCAATGCCTGCAGAGGACAGAAGAGGCTGCCAGATCCCCTGGAAGCTGGAGTTACAGACAGCTGTTAGCCACCATGTGGGTGCTGGGATTCAAACATGGGTCTTCTGCAAGAACAGCCAGTGTTCTTAACTGCTGAGCCATCTCTCCAGCCCCCTCTCACAGATAGTTTTAGGGGCATTGTGGGTCAAAGGAATAAACAAGAAACAGATTTCTTCACAAGAAAGAAAGGGAGCTTCCGTAAATTAATAAATAGTACATATAACAAGTCTGCTCCAAATATTATGCTTACTGAAGAAAATTGAAATACATTCCTTTTCATATCCTGAGCAAGGTGAGGATGCCCACTATCACCCTTAATATTTAACAGAGCACTAAAGTTTCTGACAACACCACATTAGACCAATGCCACATTAGGTGTTGTTACCAATGCCACATTAGGTGGAGATGAAACTGTCATTATTAGCAAAAGACATAATCATCTGCCAAAACAACCATAAAGGAATGAACTACTAAGGAAGAGAATTCAACAAGTCTGCTACTAAAATCCATGTACAGAATTCTGCTCTGGCTCTCTATTCCTGTTAAACTATCCCAAAAGTTAGCATCCTAAAATGACAACCATTCTACTAGAATTTACTTTTTCATAGCACAGGGATTAGCTGATTTATTCTTTAGTGTCCCAGGACACTAACAGATAGCACGACTTGGTGATATGCCAGTGATACACGCTCTAATCTGTAGGTCTCAAAGAGACAGTCTGGGAGGTAACAAAGTTTTTGAATTGAGTTTTAGAAGACAATATACTACACAGGTCTAGATATATCTAGCAATTGTCCTCTTGAACAAGGCAGAAAAGGGGAAATGAAGTTTAAACCTATTAAAATTAAGACTGCTGCCTCCCTATTATTCACCAACCCTTAGCTAGTCACAATTTCAGTACCTACCTGTTCCCCGCTTTACAAGATCTGTTTTAAACCAGTAGCTGACTACATCATTTTGAACCATTACCAACACCCTGGATCAGGTTGTTCTCCCTTGGTCTAGCAGGGTTAATATGCTCAGTTTTGTTTGATCAACAGATTTCCTGAGTGATATTTATGAAGGAGTTAGCAACTCTTTTTGTCTCTTCTTTTTGAAATCCCCTATTTTTAGATTTAAACAGAAATCATTATAGACAAAACTGTATTTCTGAGATATGCTCCAAAATAAACTCAAAAGAGAAAGCAGCTGAATATGGTGGTGCACACCTTTAATCCCAGCACTCAGGAGACAGGCAGGTGGATCACTGTGAGACTGAGGCCAGCCTGGTCTACATAGTAAGTTCCAGGCCATTTGGGTCTGCAGGGAGACCATGTGTCCAAAACAAACCAAAACACAACACAACAAAACAAAAAAACAAATCAAACCGAAAATAGATTGGCCATTTCACTGATGGTGCATAGTAGCCAATGCAGGTCATTGAGCTATCTATCTACCTTTGTTTACACTTTAAATTCTCTGTAATAATAAGAAAGTGGTATTTCTTTTCATAGTCCTTATTAGGGGGTATTGAGTACAGTCACAATATAATCACTCTATGACTATATCTACCAAGCTTATATTCAGATAGCACCTAGCAAAACATAACAAGTAAACTGTGCTGGATTTTCTAGTTTTGCCACTGATAAAAAGCAGACAAGACTGTTTATGTATTTGAAAGACACAGTTTTTTTAAAGACAGGCTTTCACTGTCATCTAGGCTGGCCTGGAATTCACTATATAGGCTCTAATGGTCTCAAACTCCCAGCAGTCCTCCTGCCTCAGCCTCCAGAGTGTTTTGATAAAGGTGTGAGTCACCAAGCTAGGCTTCGACCTACACCTTCCTACCTACTGCTGTCCTTTCCTTTCTCCTACCCTTTTCTTCTTTCCTTTTTTACTTTTTGACACAGGGTCTCACTATGTAGCCCTGGCCGGCCTGGAACTATGTAGACCAAGTTGGCCTCTAGTTAACAGCAATCTATTACGGGCGCGCGGGTTTCTCGGAACGCCAGCTGCTGGCTGGCGCCTGTCTCTCCCGCGCCACTGGGGCGGGTCCCGCGCACCGTGTTGCTGAGGCTCTCCAAGACTACTGGATGCTGGCAACTTTACTGATCGCTGCATCTCCAGGCGGGTTCTGTTCCAATCTACCGGGCACTCCCTCTGGGTTCGAGATCCGTCAGCCGCCGGGTCACCAGGGGAGGTACGGAAAGGTGAAAGCAGGGTCTTCGTGAGTCGTTGTTTACGAAGGGACAGCCCCCTCTGGAGAGATGCAGGATTCAATGATACAGCTTCAGACACAGCTTCCGACGCAACTCCGATTTATTAAGGGGAAACCAGGATATTTATACTGTGGGGGCAGTGGCAAAAGCCTTAGTTGATAGGTGCTTTTAGGATGCCCCATTTACATGTGGTGGTGGGCTTCCACCAGGCTGCCAGACATTGCCTGATTATCACACAGGAAAACCTGGCAGTTCCTATGCCAGAGGCCATGTATCTGTGACAGCTACTTCAAAGATGAGTCAGGAAGAGAGCAGGGGGGCGCCCTGCTGAGGAGTCCTTCCATTCGTGCCGAGCCGGCATGCGGCTATCTGGACATGGAAAGACTACAACCCAAAACAGCAGGAGTCCCCAACAATCTATCTGCCTCTGCCTCCCAAGTGCTGAGATTAAAGGTGTGTGTCACCATGTCTGTGGAAGAGTTTAAAATTATATTTTATGTGTAAGTATATTGCCTGCATAAAGGAAGGTGTACCATGTCATGCAGTGCTTGCAGAGGTCAGAAGAAAGCGTCAGATTCCCTATAACTGGAGTTACAGATGGTTGTTAGCCACTATATGTGTTCTGGGAATTGAATGCAGGCCGTCTGCAAGAGCAATCAGTGCTCTTAACCACTGTGCCATCTCTCCAGTTCCAAAAGGTTGCTTCTAATGTCTCTAGAACACCTCTAATTAGAACCAAGAATATATAATTAATTTAAAATTGATATTTAACTCTCGGCTAGAATAAACAAAAGAGAGGCTTTTCTGTATGTGTCTTCTGCTTTATTTATTTAGAAAGAAATCATGCCTCAGTGAGCTAAGTTTGAGTTCTGCTTAGAATGTGCTTTGTGCATTCTGTTCCAGAAAAATGAAGCTTCTTTTCCTCTCTTAGATTCCTGGACCCTGAAATTGGTCCACATTTGGATCACAGATACACACAGAAAGATGCCTGGCTTGAGGCTTTGAATAGCTATTTATATAAGTTGACTTTTCTGTGCATTTGTGTTGAGGAGGCTCCAGCTCAGGCTGATGTCCGGGGAACCAGTGAGGCTCATGCTTAAATCCTGAGGGAAGGAAAGACACATGGAAACAGTCAGCAGGAGTTTTAGTAACTGAGCTCATTCTTATTTCTTGTCAAAATTGAGAAGAGAGAAACTGTCCGCTTGTTTACACATTCATTTTGCTTTTGAGTTCCTTCTATCTACCAGGAACTGAGTTAGGTTCTGAGGCTGTAAGAAATAAACTAGTCCACCTACTATGAGTTGAAAGTGGCTTTTTGCTGTTATAGCTTGTAGCATATGTTGTTTCAAAGTAGTGTCCATACTGAAAAGAAAAATTAATAAATTAAGAATCCAAGCACCTATAGCTAATATCAGGAAATAAGGAACAACATAACATGAATTCTAATGTACTCTGTCATGTGAGATAGGCTAGGGGTCAATATGTTATTAGTCTACATCACCCTTTCCTAGCCATTGGATGTTTGGGAGAGAGTTAAAGGCAAGGCTCAGGTTGATGACAAGCCCAGAGGAGAAGACATCCTGGGTCAGAAGACATTCTTTCTGTAGATTAACAGGTGAAATACAAACAAATCAAGAGAAAAAGAGATCTACCTATCATGTGATCATTTACAGGCAATATTCACTTGATAGTCAAGTGGGATAAGGTGCTCCAGCTGAAGACTGATCTCCTCTAGTCACACTGAACCTCTTACATGGCCACTAGCATTTTTTCTAAGAAAAAGAAACAGCAGAAGAGAAAGTGAGATTACCTGGGAAGGTAAAGGTTTAGGTTTAACAATATTTTTGAGGTCGTATCTTTCCTGGTTCCAGTTGCCCATCAGTGTACAGTTTGAATATGAATTCTCATTAGTGGTGCATCTCCACCCATACTGAAAAAACTTGGATAGATTGTTCCAATCCGTCCGCACTTCACCACGACCATCTGCATAAATAAGGCTTCCATAATGTGGGTTTCTTAGGAAACAGATAAGGTTCTGTCTCTGGAAAAGGGCAAGAACAGAAAAGCTTACTGATGAAAGCAAAGAGCAGAAAAATCATCCTTTTCTACCTCTGCGTATTGGGCAAAGAATTAACAGAAGCATACCTTACTAATTCTCTAGGCTTTCTCCAAATATAATTTATGTTGTTTTGTTTCTTCCTCTTCAGGTCTATATATCCATTGACCTAACCTCTCAATCAGCAGTATTGGGTGACTATACAAATGCCACTGCCCACTCATGCTGGGTAAAGGCTTTCCAGTGCGCATACCCTCAGGTCAGCAACCCCTGTTATCTCGGTAAGTTCAATAAATTCATTGGTTCCCCAGTAAAACTTTAATCAAACATTGGCTTGACATTAGAACCTTAAAAGGGAATAAGCATCGCTTAGCATCCCCAGGAAAAGACAGAAAATTTATTAATGCTATTATGTCTCATAATTATTTTTTTAAAAAAGAAAATGAAAACATAAAAGATGTTAAAATGATATGGTAATGGAGATATTTTCCAAAATAGAAAAAATGAGAAAGCCTAAACAAGTGATGGAGGTCTATGTAAGTTTGTTATGATATATAAAGGATGAGACAAAAATAATATACACATAATCTTAAAATTTCTATGGTCAACTAGTTTAAGAAACAAATTATATATCTAGTCAAGGTTTATCTGAGAATATTTGGTTTTTTATCCAAGCCTTATCTACATAGCACATGATAATTAAAAGTACCAGACTGGTGGAGCTTTATTGGATGTTTAACAGCCATACTTTGAGGCCTACACTAATGTGGTCAGAGGGACTTAAAGGACAGTTTTTGCCATTTGTCCTCCAAGGTCAACTAAGTTCCAGGGGACCACAGAACATCTCTCAAAATGTCCTGTAACTGTGGTGAGTCACCTGTCCTCTTGTTCAGGGAGGCCATGGAGACTCCACCAGATGGACTTGAACGAGTGTCCAGTCTATAAAGAGGAGGATCAACTCAGAGGAAACATCTCATTCATGCTTCCAAATGAAGCCAGCCATGGTTGAGCAGGACCTTTGACTTATCTTCACATAGATGGAACTGGTAAAAGAAAGGATTCAGGAACGCCTCCCAAGCCCATGTGACCCCTAAGGAACAGATCCTCAAACGACCTTAAGTGTAAAAATAAATTGATTTATTTGGGCAATTTTTTGTTTTTCTTGTCTTTTTGAAGCAGGGTCTCCCTGTAGCCCCAGCTGTCCTGGAACTCACTATGTAGACCAGGCTGGCCTTGAACTCACAGAGATCTGCCTGCCTCTGCTTCCCAAGTGCTAGGACTACAGGCATGTGCCACCACGCCCGGCTTATTTGGGCAATTTTTTAAACACCCAAAAGGAAAGTGTAACCAAAAAGTAATCAGTCTATTTCTTTAAGAGTTCAAGGGATTATACTTCCCAGGCATTAGGCTTAAGTCTATATAAAGTTATTTAGACAATTATTTATCATTGATGATTTTGTTCCTAATCAGAAAGTGCTGTTCAGATGTAAGACTTCAAATCTTGGTCTCCAATACTGTAGTGCCCACCTGTAGCTAAGGGAGACAACCAGCTACTGTTCTAAAACGATGGATAAATTTGTTTTCTCCCCATACCTAGAAGACTTTGAGAGGAAACTGACACTGATTCTAACCACTCCAACAGCTATCAAAATACCTGAAAGCAGATACTGAATCCATCACTTTAGAGTCCAACCTTGGAAGACAAAAGAAAAATGAGGAGGAACCCAATAAAGGGATGCTTTTGGAAGCTCTCGTCAAGAAATTTCAGGGGACTCTGGTACGAACATTTGAAATTTGCCCTGTTCTGACTTTTTTCTGGTTCCCTGTCTAGAATTTGTAATGTCAACTACTCTTGCTTTTACTTCTCTTTCACATTCCCTATTCACCAGTCAAGGGATTTCTTTTCTCCTTATAGCTAAGAGTTATGCAATTTGGGAGTTTTTTAGATAGACCTGCTGAAGGGGTACCCCCAAATTACTTCACCCTGAGCCCCTGTTCAGGATAGAAAAAGCCAGAGAACTCTGCATCTTGATTCCCTATTGGCAATTTGGGTAACTTCTTAGAGAATGGCGCAATAAGAATAGAAAGTAGGAATTGGCTGGGCAGTTAGGGTAAAAAGACCCCAAAGAAATGTAGCCAGTTTCTTGGCCAAAAGTCACAATGTCCTTTGGCCTCTTAGCAACATACTCTATTCCAAAGGCCAAAAATGTTGAAAAGTATTTGGGAGATTTTAGGGTTACCTATTCAGAGGAGGGGAATGTTAGAGTAGCCAAAAGCCCCATAAAAATAAATTAATCAAAGAAGAAGAGTACATGAAGTTATCAGAAAAAAGTGATGGGGAGATATGGGAGGAGTTAGAGGGGAGGGAGTGGACATGGATTTGATCAAAACACCTTATATGCATGTATGAAATTCTCAATAAATTATTTATTTTTAAAAAACAAAACAATTGTCACTGCCCTCCATCCTTTCAAAGGGCAGACAAAACTTTCAATATCCCTAATACCATATGAAGAACTAGCTAAATGTTCAGGTAATTTCAAGATGTAGGATTTGGCCGACTAACGGTATTACTACAAAGAGAATGAGAATTGAGAGTCTAATAACTAAACACGATCAATGATTAATGATAATTTCCGTCTTTTTTTGGCCTAGCTCAAATAAGTTAACTCTCTCTCTCTCACCTTACATACAACTTTTCCTTTACATCTTTCTGACATAAGTTCATGTACACTTAATATCTACTGAATTCTATGCCCGTTCAGGACAGAATCTGAGGTTTTTTTTTTAATACCCTCTTGCTTACCCTCTCCCTTTCTATGCACCAGATGATCAATATCTGAGTTTCATAATTTGGGGAAGGAGTCAAAAGCCTAATCTTTGTTGTTGTTGTTATGAAATAAGTCTGGTCCCAGGTCTTAGGAGCAAGGTGATACCTGTAATGACGAGTAACTTGATGGTGAATAAAAGAACTTGCTTGAACATTTCAGAGGAGAGTGACTGTAGTCCCTATAAAACTGTTCCATGTTTATGAAAGATGTCACCAGACCCGATCTTGTCAGTTTTCCAGATCACCACAGATACATCACCACAATTTGAGAGACACAACCTAGTTGCCTTTTTATAGGCAGAGTCAAAGTCAATAATGCAGCAATGAAGAATGGACAGTGAGGACAGCCCTCACATCATGTGCCTTTGTGAAGATACATGCATGCATGTGCTGATGTCACCAAAGAGCATGATAACTAGAGCTGGACCCACAAAGCCTGGCAGGCCCAGTGTTGAGAGGTGATGCTGTCCCTAGAGCTAGGATGACAGGCTTCACCATCCACCCCTGTTGTTGAGACAGAAGCCCAGGGCTGATCTTTGGCTTTTCTTTTGGCATTCACTAAGTCTTTCTGATTTCTGAATCAGTCCACTACTCTTCATCTTCAGTACAATTCAGATCACCATTGGCTTTTGCCTGTATCCTGCATTAGTTTCCTGATCTCGTCATCAACCTTGTTCTTATGGGAAAGTTTTTCAAAACAAAAAAATTGAGTCATCAACCTGTTTTAAATCTTAGTGGCTTTCTATAATCTCATAAGGCTTAGGCTGTTAAATGACGCCATATGACCTGGCCTGGCTTTTAACTCCAGTCTCACCTGCTGCCCATCCTCCCCCCAAACTGTTTCAGCCAGCCAAACTTAACCAGTTTCTGCACCACACTTTTGTATACTTTGTTCCTTCTGCAGCTCCAACCTTTTATACCTAGATAAAATGAACTACCCCTCCTCTCTTTAGCTTTCAGCTCAGGCTCACGTCAGGGCTTCTTTACACTTTGGTAAGTTTTCCCCCTGTGTGCTTCATTAATAACATCCTGAATTCTTTCACTTGGTGAGTACATACCCCATTACAGCAGAGTTGTGTTTTCAAATGTGTACATTTGCCATTAGACCGCAAGCAGGCATATTCATATGTCTAGATATAAAGTTATATATTCATACATCTAACTGCCCTCACAGATGCCCTGGCACATATTAGGCATTCTTGAAAATAGGCTATACAAGCACCTGGAGACGTGTTGAGCAGCTAAAACAAGAGGAAGCAGCCATTTCAGAACAGTCTGTGCCTACAACACGCAGGACCAGAGTCCAGGCTCTCCAGAGCTTCAGCCCCACCTGGCTTTCACTCAACACTCTCCTCCCCCTCAGGGACTGTGAACTCAAGCAGGTGTGGCCAGGACGCTCAGGGCCGTCCTTGGACTAAAGAGCAAACGATCCTTCCAAGGGGTGCAAAGGCGAGGGGACAAGATGGGTGTTCCATTTCACAATCACGCTGGTCGGCCATTAGGTGTGTCTACCGGGTTTGTCAAGGCAACGGCGCGCTATTGATGCGTCATCTACCAGTGTCAGGTGGAGAAGGGGCAGTCTGACAAGGGCGAAGGAAGTGACGTAATAAACGCGCACCAAAGAGAGCGCCCGCGGGGAGCCGGAGAACGCTATGGCTCCTCGGCGCCTCCTGTTGGTCGGGGAAGGGAATTTCTCCTTCGCCGCCGCTCTGAGCGATACCCTGGATTCCAGCGCTAGTCTGATCGCCACCAGCCTGCAGCACCCAGCCGACTTGGCTGGGGATCCGGTAGCCCTGGAGAACCTACGGCGCCTGCGCCAGCGAGGTAGCGAACCCCGCCCCTCCGGCGACCCCGCCCCTCCGGCGACCCCGCCCCTCCGGCGGCGCCCCCGCCCCTCCGGCGCCCCCGCCCCTCCGGCGACCCCGCCCCTCCGGCGTGGGGGTGACTCCTGTGGGGAGTGCTCTTGTCCTACATCACTCCGGGGAGAGTGCTGTCTGCCGAGACCTGAGCTGGTTTGCACCGTTCAGGTTGTTGGTTTTTCCTCCTGCTAGTTTCCAGATCTTAAGACATCCAATCTGTATTGCCCACCTTCAAATTTCTTTGCCAGGTTCGGAGGTACGTTTCGGCGTGGATTGCACCCGACTGGCACATGCCTTTGAACCACACGACAGGGAGTTTAATCGGATTTATTTCAATTTTCCGCACTGTGGACGCAAAGCTGGAGTAGCTAGGAACAGGGAACTGCTTGCCAAGTTTTTCCAGAGGTGAGGAAAGGAGAGCCCTTCCAAAGAGTGTTTTCAGATGTCCAGAACCTAGTTGTCGCACGTAAACACTGCAGTTGGAGAAATAAGGCAGGTTTGCCTAAGTTGTTAGGACATGCTTGGAAAAAACATAAAAGCACAAGAGGAACCCACAGTCTCCTTGCAAAGGGAGACATCTAACCCTGGATGTTAAAGTACAAGTAGTGAAGCTGGGTGTGGTGGTGCACACCTGTAGTGCCAGCACTTGTGAGGCAGAGGCAGGCAGATCTCTGTGAGTTCAAGACCAGCCTGGTCTACATAGTGAGTTCCAGGCCAGCTGGGGCTACAGGGAGACCCTGTTTTAAAAAAGACAAAAACAAATAGTAGACTCTTGTGAGGCAAAAGGCAAGACTGTTTTTAAGTATAGCTTTTGATTGATTGATTGATTGATTGATTGATTGATTGATTGATTGATTGATGGAGTATGGGTATGGATGTGGAGGTCAGAGGACAACTTGCGGTCAGTTCTGTCCTTCCACTGTGGAGCCGGGAATAGAAGTTAGACTGCCAGGCTTGGTAACAAGCATCTTTACAAAGTGAGCCATTTCATCAGCCCCAAGATGGTTTTTAAAATGCCACCCAGTAAGAGCCAGTGTAGTTTGATGACTAAAGAGCATGGATTTAAATCTGGGCTCACCACTGAGTAGTTAAGACTGTTTCCCCACCTATAAACTGAGGATACTAAGAGTAGCTGCTTTGGGGCTAGAGAGATGGCTCAGTGGTTAAGATTGCTGGCTGTTCTTGCAGAGGACCTAGGTTCGATTCCCAGCACCACATGGTGGCTAACAGCCATCTGTAACCCCAGTTCCAGGTGAATCTGATGCCCTCTTCTGACCTCCATGGGCATTGCATAACACGGGTGCATTTACATACATGCAGGCAATACACTCATATCTATGAAATAAAAATAATAAAATATTAAAAGATTGACCTTTTTAAAAAAAAGAGTAGCTGCTTCATAAAATGGTTGTGAATTTAAAACAGTGCTTTCCACTAGTTTACCAAACCACGAGGTATTGAGGCCTCTATTAGGTTAGAGCTGTCAAGAAACCTTTAGCAAAGGCAGTATTTAGGTAGTTGAAGTATAGATTTATTTAATTTTTGGTGGTGGTGATTAAAGCCAGGCTCTCAGGTGTGAGCTTTAACCATGGAGCTATAACCCAGCCCTGAACATTTGGATAGACAGAAGGCTGATTTTGATAGGCAGAAGGTGGTCAAAAAAATTTTTTTAATGTAGAGAAAACACCCAAAAAGTGAATTATATATAGGAACTTTGTGGACATTGGCTTTTCTGTGACATGGAAGAAGAGCACAGAGGCAAACCAGTTGACCACTGTTATGGGGCACAACTAAACTTTGTATATCTGAGGTTTGATAGACCATTGCAGGTAGAATCGAATTTTAATTATTTCACAGCTAAACCAGGTGCATATTGTTGCTTCCTATGGACACTTCGTTTTGCTACTGATAAATCCCTGGTGTTTTTCCTCTGTAAGCTGTGCAGATGTTCTTGCAAAGGAAGGAGAAGTCCATGTGGCACTGTGTAGAGGACAAGGTGGAACTCCTGCTGATATACCCCAGAGAGAGTGGCAGAACAGTTGGCAAGTGGTTGCCATGGCAGCTCTAGGAGGGTTCATTTTAAGTGATGTGCATCCCTTCAGCTGTGAGGCTGTGCCGGGATACAAGTGTACAGGCTATAGGTAAGTAATAAGTAGGCCTAGACCTTCTTTTTCATCTCTCCCATGAAGCATTTAAAAAAAATTCAAAAGAAAGCTTTCCCCTACAAATGTCCCAATTTCATTTCTACAAATACTTGTTTTGTTTACTAATGGTGGCTTTCATTTGTTTAACCAGGAGTCAGGCTCAGTCCTTTCATGTGGAAGGTGCTTTGAACCATATCTTCACCCAGAGCTTGCCCTTTGAAGGGTCTCAGCCCAGAACATTCAGAATCAGACTGGGAGACCAGTGGTTTTCCTTTACAGAACCAGAAGCACTTGCAGGAAAGTTGAACAGGTAATCTTTCATTTTGTTGGAAGTCCCTTCTGTCTCTAGGTGTACCATGATTGTCTTAATGGTGACCATATTTTGAGTGGATGGCACATAAGTTGTTAATGCTGCTGATGCTGCGAATATTTGTCAGGCTCATATATTGTAGGACAGTGGCTGCTAGAATTCTGGAATATGCACTGGTTCTCCAGCACTGAGGAAATAGTTCAGTGGTAGAGTAACTTGCCTAGCATACACATGGCCTTGGATTTACTCCCAACATTGCCAGCAAAACCAAACCAAACCAAAAAATTGTACTTGATATCTTCCCATATGACAAATAATTTCATTGTTTCTTTTCAGAATCAATTAAGGATAATTGTTTTCTATATAACCACAAACAGTTTTAATTCTAAGAATTTAATTTTAATTCTTAAATTATTATTTTAAGTGAAAAGTTACTTTGTGTGTTTAAACAGGGGGTTCCTCGAAGCACCTTCCCACCATCCTATCAAAACCATAAATGAGAAACTCATTGATGAATTGGGCAGAGCTTTCCCTCTAAAAAGGCTGAAGTGTTCCTTCCCTTTGTTGGTTCAGGGGAGCACCAGTGTTCTTCCTCCTGGGATCTGTGACAAGCTGTCTGTCTTTTGGATTAGTCTCCATGAAGATAACTCATATTCGGAGTCCCTGACTCCTGGAATAACACAAGATATGGAAGGCACTCTCGTGTCATTTTCAGAACTTAATCTTCCTGGGAGTCCTAGAAGAGATGACAACGAAGCAGCTCAGGACAGACTCTATGGACAGGCCAAGGTCTGCCTTAGACCTTCTCTTCTAGTATATGGTCAAACTGTCATTCAAGCACCAGACTTCCTCCCAGATTCCCTGCACGTTCTCAGTGGACCTGTCTTTCGGAAGTGCCACATTTTGCCTTTCACAGTGCCAGCATTTCATGAGACTTTATTTATTCTTGGATTTAATAAAAATATGAAGAGCAGCCACCTTGAATCACTGCTGGATCACCTGACAGGCATTCTAGATAACCTCCTCACTCAGACAGTGCCAGGAGGCGCCAACATGAGCATATCAGTGGAATTTGTCCTTCAACCGAATGGGGAGGATTACATAATTCATGTGAAGCCTCATAATTTTGGCCCAGGTTGTACCAAAGATCTGATTATTGGGTCTGTTGTCACATCTGCTACAAATATTACACATAAAGACCAATGTTTTCTGTTTGTATCTATAAACTTGGACTTATTAGCCATGCTTGTCTGGGATATTTCTGATTGGAGAATATTGTGGACTTTTGATAACCGTTTCCTGAAAAACTTTGTCCCCAGGAAAATAGAACGCTTCAAAAGCTATTCGCTGTATCCTCCACACTATATCCATGATATTAGTTTTTGGTTACATGAAAAGAAAGGATTTGATGAACTAGAGTTTCACACTGTAGCCCGAGCAGTATCTCAGGAAACTATTATTTCCATACAATTCCTTGGTCGTTTTCAGCATCCAAAGACTGAACAGGTCAGTCTCTGCTATAGATTGATCTACCAGACTTGTGATAAGGCGCTCAGCAAGCAGCAGGCTGCATCAATGCAATCCCGGTTTAGAAAAGAGATTCAGCAGCGACTACATGTTATACTTCGATAGTTTAGTAAAGGTATTTCTACATATGATCTTTTGTTTGTGGATGAAAAAAAGCTTGTAACCAGTATTCCCTTCTGAAGGCCCTCTCTCTCCATTCCCCCTCCCTCCTGTCCTCTCTCTCCATCCCCCCTCCCTCCTGCTCTCTCTCTCTCTCTCTCTCTCTCTCTCTCTCTCTCTCTCTCTCTCTCTCCTGTGTGTAAGATCTTTTTCTATGTGACTCCAGGAGTGTTGCTTGACCCTAAAGATACCCATGACTATCATTTAAACTTAAGGACTGTAATGTTTTGACTCTTGTAGTAATACAGTATTTTGGTCCTGAATGATGACCAAAACAACAAACAAAACATCTTTTGACTTCAGATATTCTGCCTCATTAAATATATTTATAAATATATTTTCCGTTCTTTACCTCTCACTGAATTTATGGGAATGGTTTTTGGAGTTAAACATTTGTTAGCTTGTAAATTGCAAGTGTTCTATATTTGGTATTGTAATTATGATGCTGCTGTTTTTTTTCCCCTATAGTAAACTATTACAGACACAAAACTCACAAGTATCAGATGTAGGGTTCACATTTGGGTCTCTCTGACCCCAAAGCCATACTCTATGTCTTCTTAGCTTTCATCAAAGGGAAATGGTTTCGTGAATTTTATTTAAGGTGGATATTTGAACTTGGTAACTAAGGACTACGTATGGAAACTGAGTAATATGACCAATCACCATTTTTAGTACTTGGGAAGTAAAATTATAACCTTTTGGGATCTTGTCAAGTTCAGTGCTTCTTCTATAAACTTGGGCCAGTTACTGTACAGAGTTCCACAGGTGGGTGAAGCTCTGTGATTGGGGGGAGGACTGCGTGTTAGGATTAGGTGAATGATCACTGAGAGTTTGCCTGTGTGAAAACGCCTGTCAAACCAAGGGCTTTTTCGATGTGGGGAGAGTAGCACGGGTTTGTAATCCATCCTCAGTAGGAATGTAGCTCCATTTACTAGATAAGCAACTTTGGACCCTAGTTTCCTTATCAATAAAAAACAAGGTAGTTTTGAGAATTAACAACAATATGTAAAATGCCTCCTATAATGCTGTCGTTGTGATGCTAGTGATGATGTCTGGCTGAATTTGCTGCGTAGTATTTCAGCTTTCACTTGGCAGTCTATGTTCTGGGTTTACCAGTGTGTCTTTTGAAGCAGTTATTGAGCTGTTGGCTGTCTGTCATTCTCACCAAGATCCAGAGGGCAAGGTGTTGAGGTAACCTTTTAGAGACCTCCCCTTCGATAGGCAGCTGTAACTGAACCGTACACTACACTCCGTATTCTTGCTTTCATTTAAATGGAGAAGCTGAGGGGCAGTTCTTGTTGACAGGTGTAGCGCGGAGAAGTGGAGGAAGCGAATTAATGGAAGGAAGGAACGCCCAGAGCTAGTAGGTGGGAGGGACAAGCCTCTACGGAGTAACCACGTGTCAAGCTCCAGTTCTTCGCCGCTAGGGGCCTCTGCTCCAATTGGTCCGGTAATACTAATTTAGTCTTTTCTGCGCATGTCAAAGCTTTTGTCCCTCGGCGGACACCGTTTCCCAGCCGAGCAATGTCTGCGCGCTCGCAGACTTCGTAGCGTGCTGAGCTCTCTCTTCACCGGACGCTTGCCATGGCGAGCCGAGGGGTTCGGCAGCGTCTGAGGGGCGGCGGCGGCGGCGGCGGGGACCCAGGCCCCGCCGTGGAGAAGCTGCGGAAGTTGCAGGGCGTCCGGGAGGCGGGCGGAGCGAAGCCGCGGCCCGAGTACGTGTGCGGGCGCGGCGGGGGCGTGGCCGGC